CTTTGGACCACTGAGCAACAGTTCTGTTTTTCTTTAGCCCAGGTAAGACGCTTCTGACGTTTGTTGTTCAGGAGCGGCTTGACAAGAGGAATACGACATTTCAAGGCCATGTCCAGGATCCGTCTGTGTGTGGTGATTCTTTTTTTTTTTTAAAACAATTTTATTGTTTTTTTTAACAAACAAACAAACAAACAAAACATAAAAACATCAGCTCTCATCCTTATTTATATACAAACAGTGAGTCGGTTGGTTCATCAGTTTTGTGCATTCATTTCGTAGTCACAATTACAATTACCTTACATAATAGTTCTTATTATCAATCCAAACTTATATATCCTCATATCATTATTAAAGAAAAAAAAGATTTGACTATACTTTTATTCAATCATGCCTTATGAGATAACTATAATTTAAGTAATTTACTCGAAATCAATATTATTCCTTATTGTCTAACATTTTAAATATTCTATTTTTGTATTTCATCATTCAACCATTGATAGAAAAGATCCCAAATCATATAAAATTGTTTATCTTCTTGCTCTCTAATTTCAAAAGTCAATCTACTCATCTCAGCACATTCCAATATTTTCTTTATAACTTCTTCCTGCAATGGAATTTTCTCATTTTTCCAATTTTTTGCAAATACAATCCTAGCCGCAGTTAACACATTTACAATCAAATATTTCAAATCTTTACTATAAACATCTGGTAAGATTCCCAGTAGAAAAAGCTCCGGTTTCAAATCTATATGCTTCTTTGTCATTTTTTCCAACCACATGCGGATTTTAGTCCAATATTTTCTAGCATCCTCACAAGTCCACCACATATGGTAGTATGAACCAGGTTTCTGATGACATTTCCAACATTTTTCGGATTTGTTCTTGAACATTCTTGCAATCCTTGTCGGGGGAAAATGCCACCTGTAAAACATCTTATACAAATTTTCTTTATAGGCTGTGGACATTGTCATTTTATAGTTTTGCACCCATAATTTCTGCCATTTCTCTAAGTCAATCCCATATCCAAAATTCCTCCCCCAAGCAATCATAGTTTCTTTAACTTGTTCTTCCTCTAGCTTAATTTCCAATAAGTAACCATATAGCTTTTTAATCACCTTTTCATCAGTACCCATCAAAATCTTATCTAAATCAGTCTGTTTATCATAAAATCCCTCTGTTTTGTGTGTGTGGTGATTCTTGATGCACTGATCCAGCCTCAGTCCACTCCTTATGAAAGTCCCAAACACTTTTGAATGGCCTTTTCCTGACAATCCTCTCCAGGCTACAGTCATCCCTGCTGCTTGTGCACCTTTTTCT